CCTGTGTTGTTTTTTCTGTTGTCTTTTTATATTGCTTTAGGGAGCAAAGGGAGTTTTTATAAAATGTTTTCGAAACTTTTTCCTTTGTAAAAGTCGCTCTGTACGACCCCTGGTCATGAAACCGTTTCCCCTTAGTTTCCTTTTAGTGTGTGACCGATTAGGCATACATGGGCTGCGTTCCCAAGCCATAAGAAAAAAACTAAAAGCAAACGGAAATTTCTACACCGAAGGCCTATGGTCCGACAATGGTCTCGCAATGAAACGTGCATTGATGAGATTGAGAAAAACCTGCATTGGGTGCATTCGATGGCTCAAATCTGAAACTATACTCGTCTAAACCGCGAACTTATTTAGGTAAAATAAGTATGAATATGCTTATGCATTATTGTATATACTTATCACAGCAATTAAAGAGCCGAACGCATAAATTGAAGTATGTTATTGTTTCCCGCTATTAATTTAAAGGTAATTCGTTTAGTTCGTATAGTATAGTACACGAGGGTATGTTTCCGCGATAGCTAAGTAACCTAGCATAAAACGTCCAATACGTAATTGAACCTCAAATTCAAATAAAGGTACATCAAACGACCAAAAGTATATATAAAATAAAGATTACCTAATGCCATAATGAACATGCTTTGTGTAAAAATAAATATTAAAAGTTGAGTTTCGAAGCTCTTTCTGGTAATAACGACGTGAGACCGGAGACATTCTTGTTTCAGTCTCGTGTCATATGCCGTAATAAAAGGCTTTTCCGTGTCAAATAAGTAGTTGCTGACAACCCCCTTACTTATATTCATTTGATATTAACCTGCGTTATACAAGTATTATTTGCGTCTCCGGTAAATACCTGCGACTCCTGCGAGTAATTACATTATTTTGCTATTTGTTACTATCAGTCTTTATTACAAATCTTACGTCATTATTCGTTATAACAGCATAACAGCATTTTTGGTCTTGTTCTGTTTATCTAATAATGAATTTCGTAGATGTGTGAACCGCTATTCATTCATGGCAAAGCACAGACAGAATTAGTACGAGTATTACCTACTAAACCACTAAGAAGTGGAATTTTGTATTTTGACCAAAGCCATGAAAAGATTTGTAATTATATATACATATAATTGCTAGTGAGCTAGAATTGTAGTGAATTTCGCGCGATTACAAAACAGAGCTTCTGAGCTTTCGTTATTAAACAATTATGATTTAGTAAGAGCAGATCCAGACTTTCCTATTGATGAAGCAATATATAACCGCTTGATTAAAAAGTCGGACGAAGTATCTTATTAAAACGCTACGTAAATGCTAAGGTTATATATTTGAGAACACTGCCACGTTTTCTTACGTTGGTAGGTATACTGAGATTTATAATTTTGTTTTATTATTGTACAAAGTTTAATTTGTAGAGGACAAAACGGCTTTTAATAACAAAGTAATAAAGAACTGATTCACGAAAGTAGAGCACCTTTAAAATTTCTTTTATAACTTCTTGTAGAGAAAAATTTGGTAACAACCACATATTTCGTTTATTACGCAAGACATAATTTGTAAAAATTCATTGCTCCAATGTTTTTTTTAAGAATTCACAAAATTTGAAAGCAACAGGCTCGCGGCGTAATACTATCCCCTATATTTGTCTACTCAATATGGAGAAAGTGGAATACCTAAATGCTTCCAATAGAGTCGCTTCTATGATTGAAATTAATGCCAACACCACCTAGAATTTCATAGCAGGTAGCAAGACAGTATACAAACTGTTCTTCGTGCGTTTTTCATTTGTATACTACACAAAATGAGGCGCAATTTCTCATATCCCCCATGTAAAGTGCGTGAACTCGTAATACCTCGGACTATTTTATTACCACGATTGGAGAATACGCAAAACTGTAGGAAACACTACTATTAAACTGAATGGAACTTAATGGAATCTTGCGCAAGAATATTCCTCATTTATATGATTGTAGGAAGTAAAGGGAATATAACTTTCTTCGCACCCTCATTGAATCTATTTTGACCACCTAGTATTGCCTACAAATCGAAAATAAAACTCCAGTTACTTGTAAAACAACGCTCCCAAAATCACTTATTCTGATTGCAAAGTTATTCCTAAAAATGTAGTGTCTTTAGAGTCTTTTCACACTACAAATATTAATTACATCAGGTAGGTACCACTTAAATTTGAATAGGTACATTGATTTGAAGAGCACACACAATGTTCTCGTTAAGGAGGAGTTTGTTGGCACGAAAACAGTTTGTTACTACTCAACTACTACTGACGAAAAAATCTTAAGTTACGATACCTCACTTGATAGCTCTTTGGAAGGTTTATTAAACATGCTTTTCACTGGCCGTAAAAAAAGTAGAATGAACTCAAAAACTAACCTCAATTTTTCTTTCTTTCATCTGGTTCTTTGTTTATTTTAAAAAATAGCTTATTGTGTGCAGCTAATATTTAAAAATACGTCATTAGGATTCCCTCTAACTTTTACAGCAACCACATTTATCATTTTATTCAAAAAATATAGTCACTGTAAGTTTTCGAAGGCCCACACTGTATATATGCAATTATATTCTGGATATCACTCTTAATTCGCTCTTTACGCTTCTGGAAACCCGTAGCGAAAATTGTCAGTTCATATATGACAAAAACAGTCATCTTGAATCACTACTTTCGGGACATAAATTAATTATTAATAATATAAATAAATTATCTGGGGCGTATGGAATACTCCCCAGGAAAAAGAGAACAAATAATGAATAATAATGAACTAGAACTAGAATGTTGTTGCTGGTTCAATTTACGTCAATTGATATGATTTTTTCGAATTTCGCAAAGATCAATTTTGAACTGGACATTTTCATAATTACGAATACGAAAATTGCTTTGAAAATTCGATTTTTTTGCACTGCACTCGCGTAAGGATAGGTAATACTCCTAAAGCTAAACATTGTTTATATTTGAACAATAGCTGCATAGATTCCCAACCTTTTTTGAAGCATCACCCCCTTAAAGAGCAAAAAAATAGCTATCGCCACCTAGGCATTCAATCATAGTCATAGTTACTAGTGATTGACTTTTCGGTACACTAACGTACACTGCTGATAATAGACATCTTAGAATCCTTCAAAACTAACATCCCACTGGAACTACTAGCATCCATTGTTGGTTTTCTGGAAACTTCACTAAATCATTGGTGGAGTCCCCAGCGCCCCAGTGTTAAGCTTAGGTCCTTAACTTATTACTTATATAGACGTGTACATGCCGTGCTTATTCGAAATGATTCGCTTTAATTAAAGTAGATACCTACATACTTACCTATTTTAATAATACTAAATTAATAAATACTTCAATAAAATTAATTTTCTACGTTCATAGTTACGTATCATGACCTTCCCTCTGTAGGTATGTACATTGTACCTATTCAACGATTCCGACTTCCCGATGAAGGATATTAAATGAGCAGGTTTCACACAAAGTATTTTCAGTTGAATACGATTTTCATGTGTATTGGAAGTTCACTAACACTTTTTTTAAATGGGATGCTCCAATTTTTGATTCATTTTTTAATCTATTAGTTTTTATCAAATTTTGATTACATTTGATACAAGTGGCCATATTGATATTTATATAAAGCAAGCAAGGTCTTACCTAATGTGCAACGAGGTACCCTTATTTTTCAGTATAAAATCTATTGGCCAAAAGTGCAAGCTGTAAAAGAATCGAAGATTGGATTTGTCCATGTCCAGGTTACACAGCTTACACTTTATGGTTCACAACCTTAGGAAACAATGGCGCACGACGTAAAGAGGGCGGATTGATTAAATTAATTAACTATTTTCCACATTCCCGATAACTTCTTTAAATAAGATAAAAGCGGCAAGCTTTTCCGATGCAAATTTCATTTTAATGAACTAATGTCCCAACACTTCGCGTGTTTTCTTTTTCATCAATGACAAAAATGTGATCCTTTGCTTAACTTCGGAATTTCCATGAATCGAAGTACAAATATACCTATTGGAACTTTCATGTACAGCAATACGCTGGTCTTATTAAAGTTTTTAGGATGTCTTCTGCTGCAGATTTCTTGTGAAGGCACAACAAACTACTCGCGCTCGTTTTCAGAATGTTCCATTTGTATTGAATTTTGTAGCATTACGAATTCTCATTCATATCTAATAATGCCTAACTGCCATTTGTAGTCAAATATGAAGCTCGAGCAATTTAAATCAAAGTCAAAGTACCTTACTACTGGTGCCAATAGAAAATACCCACTTAATCCTATTAATTGTTTCTCAGGGGATGTCAACGCATTAACAAAAGCTGTTGCCATTAGCACTATAAAAACTGAAAAGTGGCAAGTACATTATAGATAGAAAACGTAAACAATGAAGACACATTTCGATGCTGTTTGTTGTATTTTGTTTTTTTATTATTTGATTTCTCGTGGCAGTTAAGCAAGGCTATAAAACACAATCTTGAGAAGGAAAAATATCGGAAGAGAATTTTAAGACTACGTACGAGCAACCTCAAGATACAGAAACGTGCAGTAAGAATCTCCAGAGATAAATTTAAATAAAATTGTAAAAACTTTCTTCTCCTCGCAACGTTATAGAAATCACACGTCAGGATATTCACGCTAATATTTTATTATTAAACTCAATCCGAAAGTGGAATTTTTAGTTTGCCCAAATTGAATTAGATCCTGCACTCGGCGCTGCTGCATAAATAGATAAATAACCTAAAAGAAAATCATTAAGGAACGCTGTAGAAGCTGCAATAATTTTTTTTATACCTACGGAAACTGCAATGTTTAGTACGACATGGTTTTATAAACTTTATGCCAAAATCGTCAAACTGCAATACCGTTTAGGATAATAATAAACATTACATAATCTATTTGAGGCTTTTATAGATAAATGCATTATTTTTTGTTGGCAATAAGGAAAACCGCATCATTCTGACACGCGATCTATTTTTATATACCGATTGAAATTTTTAGGAGAGTATCTAGCAGCTTCAAACATAACGCTTCATTTGTGAGTCGTTTACCAACAATTAGGCGGCACAAAAGCACCTCCTTGCATTCGCCATCTCTACAGAAGACCCCATTAAGAAGCGGATGCAAAAGTTTTGTTGATGTGCACACATCAAACGAAAATTTAGGTATGCAAATTTTAGTATTACTTCATCTAGTGTTGAGAATTCATATTAGGAACGGGCCCCTCTAATGGTGCACGTAACATAAATGCAAGCCATAGTGAAGACTCTGTAACTGAAGCTACTCCATCCAAGAAAAATTCAGATGGTTTGTACCACAATTGTATAATATTGAGTATCTTCTTGGGTTTATAATTTCAGATGAAGACGATGAGCAGCAGCACCAACAACAACGCTTAGTTCAATTAACTAGTCAGCACAAAGCTGCTGTTAGAGCTATTAGAAAGGTAATCTCTAGACATCATTTTGAAATTTTAATTATGGAATGTTGCAGATGAAATATTTTGTTGCCAGAAGAAAGTTTAAAGAAGCTTTAAAACCATATGACGTTAAAGATGTTATCGAACAATATTCTGCAGGTCATGTAGATCTTCTAGGCAGAGTAAAAAATGTACAAACTAGGTAAGCAATCGAGAGAGCTTGTTAAAATGGTGACGGTTCATTGTTGTCAAAGTTAAATGGGTGTAAGCAATGCATAATATACGCAATGTGCCCAAAAATAAAAAAAACAAGCAACTTCGCTAGTGAAAATATACTCAAATTCAGAATTTTCAATTCTAATTATAGGTTTCCTTGTAATATCTTAATAATTAAAAGAATTATCAAACAATAAAAACATACCTCAAATATAGGTTGCTTTACATAGAGTATTTGCATCATTTTACATTCTTGTGGGCTAGATTGATAACATACAAATTTAACAGCGCAAATATATTTACGATCTATAGAATGACATTTAGCGTTATTAATATGTAATGCCAGAAAATTAATTCAGTAATTTATGCGACACCAACCTATATAGAAATAGAATATTGTACTAATTAATAAATAATCACGCTTGAAAATTTCATTAATGTCATGATGTGCAACGCTATTTTTTTCATGTCATTGGTCACATTTAACATTCATTATTATTTAAATGTTAACGCGGAAGTATCCCAACGATCAATAGGTGGGTTTCCAAAGGCAAAAAACATAAGAAAATTATGTAACTAAACATAAATATTTATTAAACCGTACACTAATATTTAGTAAATAAGCAGGTACAATTTATACAAAGTCCATGTTTCCAGCATGGAAGGCATATAAACGCAAGGATGATCTGAAATTCCTAATCGTGTAAAGATAACGATATTTGGCATTCTTGTTAATAAATGGGTTTTCTGTGTTGACGTATAGATATTTTTAACCATATTTTGCATTCACATATCACAACCTTTTTGTGGGACATTTTATGAATGGGAATGGGATTAGTATGACTAAGAAGGGGAGATTTTAAAGAGCCCAGAGTCAGACATCGACAAGGTTGTGCCTTCTTATCCTCTAAAATTGGACAAGGACACAAAGGAAAAATTGAGTTCCATTAAGGTACCTACTTATTAAAACGATTTATTTTTATTTTTAGTGTGTTTTACGCAAAACACAAAATCTGTACACCAAAAAATGCTCTTGAAACATTACGAAGGAGATTGCTGCAATTCAACCAGAAATATGTTATAATCCTGTGTCAAATTTGAAGGAATGATGTCAAAAAGTTGATTCAGAAGTCGAATTTCTTTCACATCCTGATGTTAGCTCAATTTTTAAAAATACATAATAAACTGAAATAAATTTCTTTTGTATTATAACATTATACTTCTTAAAAAAGTCAGATCGCGAGTCTATAAGTTTAGCGCTTGTATACAAATAAATATTAAATCAAAATGTATATTAAACATTTATTTGTAGGTTAGATCAAATATTAGGAAAGCAGGGTTCCAAAGCAAAAGACGTGTACGCTTCAAAAATCAGTTTAGCTTCGAGGGTTGTTAAAGTTGAACGTCAGGTAAGTTTTTCTAAAAGCTGAAAGTTTTGCTTAACAATAACTTAATTGAAGGTGGACGATATAGAAACGAAATTAGATCAACTGATGGAGCTTTACGTGGAAGATCGTAAACGATTTTTGGCTTTGCCCGTTGTTTCCGAAACGGCTGAAAAAACTGTTCCTTCTAAGCTCACCCCGCCTATACTCAAACCGAAGCCAATTCTTCTAGAAAAATTGTCTTCTGAACCACCGTCGCCTACAACGAAAACATTTAATGAACCGGTTTCGGTGTCCGTTACCAGAAGGCCAATGTATCGCGGATTCTCTGATCTTGGAAACCGCATAAAGAAGCGAGTAACTTTAAGGTTAGTATATAGAAATAAATATGCATTGCAGCTTTTTATGTTTTAGTTCCCCGTATGATGGTGAGGTTGTAATTGTGGTACCAGCTTTGGATCAATCTCCATCTCCAATTCCATATAGTAGCAGTTCTGCCGGCCCTATGGACAGTAGAAGCATTACTGTTGATCCAATGGAAGGGGAAACCGGAAGCCCAAAAATGACTACCGAAAGTTCAGGTAATTTGGATCCCATTATTCCTACAGCAGTTTTCAACGGTCTTATACAAAAGATGCATATTATTTTGCAGCTTCTTATGACAGTTACTCGTCATCTACTTCCTTATAGAGATTGCGGGCATAATCTTAGTGAGTTTCCCGCACTTGTGTCATCGATTTTAAATGTATTAATGTGAATGATGTCATGTAAAAGGACGTGGAATGTGCATGTTCTCGTGAATTTATCGGTGATAAGAGTGAATCCTGGACTGTTCTTCCAAAACATTGCTTTCTGATAATTACCTCTTGAGACTTCTTCCCCGTACTTTAACTTTTACCAAGTGCTATGCATTATTCGAATTTGTAACTTCAGCATGCAGTTCCACTCTTTTATAGAGTGGGTGACTAATACGTACCATATTTCAGAGTTTCCTTATTCAAGAGGAGAAGTGCCCGAAGAAGAAGCCTTTACGAACCTTACTCCTGCCGAAATTCTGATCACGCATGATTTTAGTGACGACGCCCATTTAACTACACAAGATGCAACAGTAACAGACTTGCATTTGCTTAGGCCTAGAACTACTACTGAAAAAGAAAGCGATAGATGTTGATGATCAATAAAATACTTTTTAATATATATAATATTGTTTTTATAAATAGGGCTTCGTCTAGAAGCGATAAATATTTTAAACGTGATAACGATCTTTTTATTTGTTTTATTGTGTACAGCGAGGAAAGGGAGAGAGATTATTTAAACTTAAACTAAATCGTTTAGACCAATTGCCTATCAAGGTGACCTTGGCTAGATTCATTGCGCTTATTGATCCCCTGAACAAAAAAAGCTTTAAATATACAGACTGTAACGAACTTCGCGCCCACGAGCAATGGGGGCTTAATTGTGAGACAAAACTGACCAGAAAACCCTATCAGACAAATACTTTTCCAGATACGGGGTTGCAAAACAAATGAGAAAAAAAATGAAGAATTTTTTTTTTTAGTTTAGTTAATAAATAATAGCCGTTCAAAACTATTTGCTGCTTAAAATGCTTAGAACTATTTTAATTAATAACTAATCAATAAACGGTCTGTACTGGTATAACCCTACTGCTTGCCCTGCTCGATTATTGCAAGCGACATTAACATATCAACATATTCTCTCTATTCGAATAAATGTTGCTGCCATTATTCGTCATTAAAACAAAAGAAAACACCGTCAAAAGATCAACTGCACCCTTATGCTACTTATCAAAGTAGGCGACTAACAAATTTTGACAAACGTGTAACAAGCCATCGCAAAATCTTCGTATCTTGAAAAGTATTTTGTCTGATCGCAAAAAATGTAATAAGGTTTTGTATTCAGTTTTGTTTCAGAAATAATTCTCCATTGTCCGTGGGTGCGAAGTTTTTAACACCCTGTATAATTTTTTGTCAATTCCTATAATTAGATCGATTAGCTATATCACGGTAAGAATATTTTAAAAATTGTTTAATATTGTTAAAATGTATATAATATTGAATTCTGTAGTAATTAGATAGATAGCTCTTACCAATATAAAATTGTATACAATAAAAAGTTGGTATAGTTTGCCTTATAAGCAACATTGTTGATATATTCATTGCTAGTTTATCGATTAGTTTTTATATAATCCAATTAACTATTAAAAATTAGCCTTATGCAAAAGGGGGACCTAGAATTTTATAAATTATACCTATATTAACTTTGCATGAATAATGTTACTGCAAGTAACAAAAATTGAAAACTGCAACAATTTGTAATTTATCGGTCGCTTCCGTCCTTTATTTTCACCTACATATTGATTTCAGTGAGCTACATACGTAACCTATAGTGCAATCCATAGGTGGATACATGCATACTGCTTATTTTCAGATCTGTCAATTTTTCTACAGACCCATGGAATAAGTTTATTGTGCACGCCTACACATAGTTCCTTTAATCAAGATGTTCATATACGGACAGTTTAAGATTATTATTTACGGCAGCTTGTCATTCTATGGATTGCACGTTATAGAAGTACAGTATTAGCACTAGGTTTTGTCAGTTCTAAATTATAATTTTATTTGCAAGGTGAGCAACTAGACCTACTGCATGTGTACCTACACAAATTTGGACTGTATTCTAACCGTAGCCACAAATGATACGAATATTTTTACACACGTACACACACATGTAAATCGAAATAGTCAATCGTTGAAATTTTTACACGCGGATTAAATAAAATTCCCATTAATAATATTACATATAACACAAGAATGCAGTGACTGCGATTGTCCTAATACTAAACCTGTCTTCCAATAAAATAATAACGTTTACGGAAATGGTTAAACATTTACAACGTAAGTATAGTTGTAGCAGAATTAGGGGATTTAGCTTATTGAATCTGTTAAAAAAATATGTTAAGCACAATTATTACTTTAAGGTCTCACTTATTTTACAAATCGCATTTTAGTAACATTTTGAAAATTTCAAATTAGCTTTAGAAAGGTTTGAAATTCGGTTTAAAACATGCCACAAACGTAATTGGTTTACACAACACACCGTTCTTACAAAAAAATATCTACTTGGGTATACTGACAAGCACTATCGACTGCATATTTTAAACCACAACATATCCTGATATTTTGTTGCATCTTACCTACAATAAACAACCTGACGTTCGCCTAAATTTCAAACTTAGAGATATCATCATCAGAAGGCGACGTGGAGCATCCAGATTTACAAAAATGTATATCTTTGTAAAGAATCCATAAATATATATCAATGTATTTCCCGGAGACACCTACTGTACGTAATATATTCGTGGATTTTTATTCATAAACAATTTGTTAAACGTTTAAGTCACTATTTATTAATAGGGTTAGGACTTCACTCCAGTGATTCGCTGAAGACTAAGAACATGCACTTTAGAATTTAACAGGGTTCTCGATAATGGTTTGATGGTCAAATAGCATATTCTTAGTATTCATCGTAGCTGTTGATTTCACTTGTTTAAACTATGTTAAATTGGCGTTTATGACAACCACTCCTTATATACCTATCTGTAAAATAATCGTATTGTTGTTCCCGGCAATGTTTTGAGAAGTCACATACACATACTGTATATATAGCTACCACCATACCTATTAGGGTCAATCCGTAACCCCCTAAGAAATGAGTTTTATCTACAGCTTGCTGTTAACCAATATTTAGAAATATTTTGTATATTGAACAACGTAAAAACGTATTGGGCATCGAAATTTTTGATAAGCAAATGTAGTCTCAATGCATTTCCACCAAATGCTTCTTTATTAATTCGGTATCGGACTTTATTAATTGCCTTTATATTTTAGTCACCCGAAGTGCTCTGATGATAAGCAACCTTTTAACTATATATATGCTGTAGATTAAACAATAAAAAATGCGGTACAGACATCGGTCTCTCATTCGTCACTGCGTATATTGTTCTCATCCAGTTGTCTTATCACATACCTAAAGAGTTCTGCTTTTCTACTTGCATGAAAAACACTACATTTAATGTAAAACCTCATTTTTAATAAAATGCAAAGGACTCAAAATCTTGTTATTTATTTGATACAATTTGTCAACCTTCATAGTGTAGTAACACAAACAGTTAAACCGGGGAATGCGTGAATCTAGCTGTTTGCTTACTTGTTTCTTCGATTTCGATACTTCATTTTTCCCTCGGGTGGTTGTAGAAGTTATCTTTAACACGGGTGTTGAATTTAAGGTAAGTTAAAAGAGTCTTTATCTCATGACAGGCACAAAAAAGATAAACGAACTTCATGCCAGAAATGTTTCTAGGTACCTACCCAGTTGTATAAATTTTGCTTTGTGTAATCATAGCTATGGTTATGCCACTGTTAAGAAATTACCATCGAAATTATCATAGAACAGCTCTCGGGCCAGGAAGGTTCACAACGTTAATTTGCATCTTAATTTGTTTTGGATATCGACCAAGCACACTGTGTCAATAAACGCCCACTACGACTACTCTCTTTGAGGTTCAGTTAATTATTTAGTACCATTAAATACATGCTAAAGGCAATTACTGACAGAGTAAAACGTTATGGTAACATTGTCTCTTTGAATCTTGAATCAAGCAAAATCGACAGGCAATTCTACAGAATTTTAAATTACTTTAACTTTTGCTGCAGATTTTGTGTAATAAAAACTAGAAAAAGTTCCACTTCAGTTGTTGTTTATATATACAGCCGTACCTACTTTGAAAACTTGACTTTGTAGATGTACAGTAATCTATACGACGACATGATACAGATGCATTAATAACACTACCTCAAAATGTAGGCTGCTTATAAAAACGTTTTGAAGCTTTTAGACAAATCAAGAAAACAGAAGTCCCAACAAAGTAGTGTACAGCTTTTTGGAACAAAGAATCTGATTTCACAATGTAAAATTAAGGACGATTTCATTTTCACTGTAATATTATTAGTAAGTTGGGGATATATTTTGATCTGACCATGGATATTGAGAGCATCGTTATTACTAATTCATATTTTCAAGCCCTCTGAACCAACATTTCGGGAAATAAAATTGTGATTCGATGTCCACTTTGGTACAAATTTAGCTCCTTGATTACTGCATATAGTAAATTACGCAGTCTATGAATCGAAACGGGGGACAATTTTAAAATCGAATAATATACAAAAAAAAACTGTTCAATCGTATTAACCAATAACAAAAACCATCTATTACTAATCCTTGGTGACAAAAAGGAAATTTTTCATACCGGAATAGTGAAAGTTTTGAATTTTATGTATAATACTTTCAATTATTATAGAGTAATAAAATATTCAAGTCGATTAGGGCTTACTCACAAAGCCTTCTTAAAACAAAACAAAAGAGAATACACAGACCAAGGCCATCAGTTATCAATAGAAACTTTCGTCACTGGCAAAATTGAGATATTTTTACCTTCACATTACCTATCTCCTTATATAGAGGTAGTTTAACAGTGATATTCGACTAGTTCGTTTCATTAATTAGTGGCGTTTCGGTTAACAGACATAATAAGGGTGAGTTCTTCCAAAATGACTAACTTACCTTAGCCTAGTTATTTCTACCATAGTAAACCAAACCAATACATAATTATCGAACGTTTTTCGCATATCCAGAATTGTTAAATGAAACTGGGATGACAAACAGAGTGCTCATTTTGTGCTAGCGGATATTAATTTGCTACTTAAAACGAAGGAATGGTAATTGAATCGACTTTCACAGAGGAAGTAGTATTTCAGAAAATGAGATTTGTAAGTTCATGACTACACTTTCGCGTTCCCAATTTATTTGTTGATTGTCAAATTGTGAAAAAGAAAAAGCGATATTACTGAATAAATACCGAAATCAAAAAATTTAAACAAATTTTCGAAATATGAGGGCCATATGATATTTTATGCTCGAATCTTAGTGGGGGGTGGAAATCGTTAATATAACTGTCATTTTGTTTCATTAGAAACATATTCCGCTTATATTACAAGTTTAATTAGCTATATAATCTATTATATCGCATCAAACCTACAATCCTAACAGTCTTGAAACTTCAACCGGAGCTACTAACACTTAAACATATTTTAAAAAGAATATATCTAGGAAGATTACGCTAAGTTGTATTGTCAGAAATCTCGAATTACGGAAATAAATCACTGAACCTTTTTTGATTATTCTAAACCATTTGATGTATTAGATCATAAACTCATTTTACCTAAAACTACAACACTACGTAGTCCGATGTATTGCTAATCAATGAATAGTTTCTTTGTTAACCGGACGATCACAAATTGTCTCTATAACGGCGGACGGTAGTAAGTACAATTCGTCACGGAAAAGCCTTTAGGACCCTTACTTTTTGTCATTTTCTAATACTTTTATAGACTCTTTCATTAATAACACTGAACTTTTGACTTCATTTGCGTTAATTAGTGGTACGAGCGTCAAGTGAAGGTGCAAACAAATGCGCGTTAAACATGGTAGATTATTGGAGCCGAAATGGACCAATGGACAGTGCATTTTAGTCGGACTCGATGAAAAATGCTCACGTTCACTCTCTACTTTCTTATGGTGTGGTACTTGGAGGAAATAGTTGGAAACTAGTGCAACAACACAGTCGTACTATAATTCCTTTCAAAATTCTTAATAACGATGCTTTTCTATCCCAAGATTGCTGGGGCTTTAGCTATTTCTTTATCATTTCGTAACTTATAGCCTTCCATAAACATAAAGCTGTCGAAAATGCAAGTCCTTGTATGGACCTAACGCATCCATGAGACTACGTTTTGCATTTTTAGGGTAACGAACGAAAGGATTATCACACAAGTAATAATTTATTTTTGGATTTTTGCTTATATCGCCCTTCAATCACTTCATAAGTTTATATTAAATGCCCAGCAGAATTTCCTTGTAGTTTGCAGCGCAGAAATTGCTACAAAGGATAGAAAGACATTTGAAAGGAAAGTTTAAGTATAAGATATCGTTATGAATCACACGGGTCACGG